GATTTGACGTTTTTATGTGCGTTACCCCTCTTCCCCCTCCCCTCACCACCGCCTTTTGTGAAGACAAATCCCACGTTCCTCAATCCAGCGTTGTAAAACAATCGATAGGTTAGGAAGATAATCAATTGCTATGTCAGTCTCGGGGTGTGGGGGAAGGAGAAAGGGTGAACCTCTCTGCTTTGTCCGTCAGTCAGAGAGGAGAGGGAGTTGTTTAATGTCTCTGGGGTTAAGGGTTTGAAACTAGAAAGACTTCCAGATGGAATGAATCCCATTTGCTCTGGTGTGTACAGTAATATCACTTGATTTCCAGCTTTCGCTCCCACCTCGCTCAGGGCAATCTTAATTTCGGAGCCATTTCTTTTGAAGCAAAAAAACAAATAAAAGCCTCGAACTCGAAAGACTGAATTCAACAATTGTGGACATCTTAAAATGCTCTTGGTCAGGGTGGTGGGGGTGGTCCAGCACTTTGGCAGCTGAGGGCCAGGTGCACACCCTATCTGAGAAACGTCCGCATAAGCAATATTTTTGTTGCTTCCCTTCCAGAAACATAATTTAACAACGTTCACGTGTTATGGAGGGGGCGGGTGGGTGGATGGAACGGATGTAAGCATTATTATTATAATTATTATTACTAAGTTGTTTTGTGTCTGATCTGGTGCTGTGATGGAGTTTGAAACTGCCTCATTTGAAGCTCTCTCCCCCCGCCAAGTTAGTCTTTGTCCAGAAAACGCTGGAGTGAGTCCTGAGTGTTCAAAAAACAGGGCAACAGACAAGAGTTTGGGCTCCTGATGGAGCTGGGAGATTGGGGACCCTGATGGAGTTGGGAGATTGGGGTCCCTGATGGAGTTGGGAGATTGGGGTCCCTGATGGAGTTGGGAGATTGGACTCCTGATGGAGTTGGGAGATTGGGGTCCCTGATGGAGTTGGGAGATTGGACTCCTGATGGAGTTGGGAGATTGACTCCTGATGGAGTTGGGAGATTGACTCCTGATGGAGTTGGGAGATTGACTCCTGATGGAGTTGGGAGATTGGGGTCCCTGATGGAGTTGGGAGATTGGGGTCCCTGATGGAGTTGGGAGATTGGGGTCCCTGATGGAGTTGGGAGATTGGACTCCTGATGGAGTTGGGAGATTGGGGTCCCTGATGGAGTTGGGAGATCGGACTCCTGATGGAGTTGGGAGATTGGGGTCCCTGATGGAGTTGGGAGATCTGGAGTGAGAGGGTGACCACCACAGTGTAACCCGAATACTTTAATACCTAACAAACTAACTAACAGACTAACGCACAATCAAATGAGAACTGCACTGTGTGTGACCACACTGGGAGTGTGGAGTGAGCCCGACACTCTGAAGGCGAAGTGGGCCGACAGTATTCCTTTCAACACTAAAATGGATGCATTAAACGCACAATACACTGTCTGGCGCTCGCTGTACCCCCTTTCTCTCTCTCTCTCTCTCTCCCCCCCAATTCGGAGGAGAGAGAAAATTGGAGGAAACGGGGAAGGG